CAGATACAATATAACCAATTTGACGACTTAAATAAATTGGAATACGATGAAAATATGGAAGAATATACCAAAGTATACAACCCGATAGATTAAATAAAAAATGAGTTAATGCTATTTGCATAGATTGACGAAAAAATAGACCAGTTTGAGTAAGAGAAGCAAAACATGCTGTTATTGTTGTACCAATATTAGCACCAATTGTTAATTCATAATTACGTTCAAGTGAAAGTACTTGAAGACCAACTAATGGTGTTAATATTGAACAAAAAACACCTAAAAAATTACGTTATCAATTTAATGACAATGATTCCATTCAGTCAAGGTAGAATGATTATATTAGGCAAATTTTTATCATCGTATTGTTCAGAAAAACTATTCATAAACGAAGTCCGGAAAGAGGTAGATACAGTTGAACGTCCGAACTCTTTCATCATAATTTTTGTTTCACAGTCTTTAAGCATTTTTCAAGTTAAGAACTATTTCAAAAAAGTCAATTTCGAAATTTATATACATGGGATTCAAGCTGGCATAATTGTTTTTTTTGTCAACAGAAGAAGTTTAGTTTTTTCGGGAAATGTCGTAGCTAAAGAATATGAACTTGTATTGTATGAAGAACAGAGTCCTCACCTTCACTCATATCTACGTATAAAGAATCATGACCACAACTTTGGCATGATATGTATTATTTAGACAATGAGTCATCTTTTGATTGAGTGTGTTTATATAGCATCTGCAGTTCTCCAACTATTATACTCTTAGTCATGAATTAATGATTTCAATTTACATCAAACAAATGTTTCTTTTTCGATTCGTTCATATTGATACGAACTAAGTTTGAAATAACAGTGAACTCGATAAACAAGCTCTTTCTAAAAAATCCTACACAAACTGATCGTCTAGAGAAACAGGAATCAGTCAAAAAACGTGTTTTTGATGAGACATGTTTTATGGATGATCCTTAAGTCCTTCAATTTTTGATTAAATTTTACACATTATTGTTTATTAAATATTTGTGTCGATGTTAAGGCATAGTCAAAATGAGCAAGATTTTTAATATTTAATACAATTTTATGATGCAATTTTAGTTGCTATTATTAAAGAAAAAAAATACTAATGGATGATGCATAATAAATCGGACAAAATATTTTTCTCTTTTCATCGTATTTCCTAACATATTAGAGACTTTGTTTTTTTAAATACCTTCTTTTTATTAGCGTAAAATTTAGAAAATGACCATCTACTCAATCGTCTAATTACGATGATCAACAAACACGAAAACGTTTTCATAAAGATTTTGCTAAAAATTTTGTATCATAAGAACTTGTTTAATTTGTCGTAACGAAAATATCAACAGATCACATTTTCAATGCAACACCTGGAAAGCATAATCAATTAGTCATTGTATCTTTCAACTTTATTGCAAACTGAATACCGTTAAGGTTTGGTTTTCTTCTATCTCAATCTATCGATTTAACTTTCAATTTCTCAGATATTTAATTCGATAAATATTCATTGAAATACGTACTACTACTTTGAACAAGTATTGCTCCAATAATACCAACAATAATAAAAACATAACCAAGTAAACATTCTTTCCATCCATGAGATTGAATATGAAGAATTTTTTTTAATGTATCATCAATAATACCAATAATTATTGATTTTAATAATTTAACCATAAATAAAAGTATTCCAGTAAGAATTATAAGAGAACATATAAATAAAATTATTCCAACAATATTATCACCAAATTTTTCAATCATTGATCGAAATAAATATTTACATTTAATTGTTTCATTATAACAATAAATTTTACCAATTGTTTGTTGTGTTTTATTACTTGTTATAATAGTTTCATTAATTTGTATTATTAATTTCGTTAAAGGTTTTGTAATTACTTTAAATAATTGAATATTTATTCCTTGTTTTTCAGGAATCATTGCAGCAATAGCCCCGCTTACACGAGCTAAATAACCACCACCTAGTACAGAAAAAAAAAATTAAATTATTTGTAATCAAATAGGAAAATTTTACGATGAAAAATATCTGACATTGTCGTTATAGGATCAATAAAAATTTCAATAGGTAGAAGGATAAGTGTTGTTAAATAATTAAATACATCCATGAGTATACCTGATGAAAAACTACGAGAAAATTCATTTCGATTTCCTATTTGACTAAATGCAACAAGAGTATTTGTTATTGATGTTCCTGTATAAAAAGAGATAGAAAGAAAATTTTCTTTAATTTAAACTATTCAATTATTTTAACATGAACTAGTTTAAACTATCACGTACATTCAATTGGCCTACCTATATTTGCTCCTAAATAATAAACAAAAAGAAAATATCAGATTAGTAAATAAATACATCAAAATTAGGCTTATCACCAATCATTTCAAGTTAAGTTTTAAATATTTTCTTCATCAGTCATTAAAATTTATGATTATTATGTCATAGACCAATGTCCAACTCGAGTTGGATCACGAAAAAAGTTTTTGGATTTCGGGGTGACTCTTCAATCTAAACATTTGACATATGTACAAAAGGCATTTTAAATATTTCCTCTCATTAAAAAGTTCTACAATAAAAAAGTTGTATCACATAATCGTGTTATTCGAACTGCGAAATATCAATGATGGAAGCAGGTCAAAGACATATCCTTCGTTTCCAACTACGAAATGAAAGGAACAAAAAAAAGATTGAGAAAAGCAGTCGATATCAGAGTCCGACTCGAGTCGGGCTACGACACGTAAATGAAAGTAATTTACATATTGTAACTACGCTGTATTTACATCAAATCAATAAAACACCTAAACTCCATAATTAGCTCCCATGTAAATGTAGATAATCAATAGATACACTTGCATCCTATTTAACGTTGCCAAGCTTTCATATCCTAATGTTTTACGAGAGGAGAGCATGTCATGTACTGCCATAAAGACACCATAACAAAGTACCTGGCATGTTGGACACTGTAATTTATACATTGCATAAATTAGTCAAAAGTTTAAATAAAAAATGGCATAAAAGAACAATTAAAAAAGTCACATGCTAAATTTTCTCGGCTACTTTGAACCGTATTTCTCTTCTGAGTACCTCGGAATGCAGTGTTTCTCATTCTTTATGGATTATCTGTGTTACCATTGATTTATATTAACTCAAAGACTATAAAAGATAGTTAAAGGAATATTCATGAATAATATTAAATAGTTTTCATAATAAAAACTAATTTCAAATGATTTTTTTAAGACTAAGTACTACGTTTGTTTGTTTGTTTTTTTACTTATTCTCACCCATAATCATTGGAATAACTGAACGAACATCATCAACAATTCCACTATCAACCATTGAAGCAATAATCGATGTAACAGTAGATGAACTTTGTAGAATAGTTGTTATAATAATTCCAAACATTACATTAATAATAGGATTTTTCAAAAATATTCGACTATGAAATATTTGTCCCAATGTTGAACGACTTAATAATATAAATGCTGATGTCATTAGATCAAGTGTTATAGTAAATAGATATAATGAAAAAATAAAAACTAAAATTCTTATTAAAATATTTAATAAATAAAGAAATTTTTCTCGTTTTGACATTATTTTTTATGGTCTTCGACCAGTTTGTTCATAACGATGAGCAACAAATATCATTTGTATTCCATCAACATTGATTTTTTCTTTTATTTCAATTAAATTTGTATGAAGTTTTTGTGTATATTCATCAGAATTAATTGGTAATGAAATATATGATTCAAGTATTGATTGATATTGTTCATTATCATCTGTATAGATATTTTCCATCTAGAAATGATTTTTTTTTAAATTCTTGCGCCAAAAAACAAAAAAAAAATAAACAGATATATATTTATTTAAAAGTTTTTAAAAAGAAAATACAAAAACAATTTTAAATATATTTAAAAGAAGAATATTGATCAAGTAATTTAATTGTTATATAAAGTTTTCTATCATAATGATAATTTAATGATAAACTTGATAAATCTATATTTGATGGTAATATTATTTGTCGATAAAAAATTGCTTGTTCAACTTGAACAATAAAATCATTATTATTCATAAATACATGACTATTAGTATCTAATGATGGTGTCATATTCTGACAATTAGAATTCATATTTGATTGAAAACGATCTTGATTAATATTGAATAATGTTGGACTATCGGAATGCTGATGATGTGTTTCTGTAAATGTTTGTTTATACAGAGTATTATTTTTATTTATTAGACGATCATTAACTGATTGATGAAATTTATAAGTTGGACTAATTGAACGTGTAGATAAAAGCGATGAATCTATTGAATTATTAGATAATTGACGTATTGGAATTTGATGAGTATCACTATGTCGATTTTCACCAGGTGGTTCGTCATAAGAAGAATGAATATATGAACTTGAAAATGCATTACTATCATTTAATTTTTGTGGTGATGAATATCTACTTGATTGAACTAATGGAGCTGGTGAATATTTTGATGAAAAATCAATTTGCATTATTATTGGTGATGGAAAAGTGACATGTGAACTTAAGAAAAAAAAAGATTTATTTTTAAAAGATAAATTAAAATATATGTTAATTTACCTGAATGTATCAATATCACGAGGTAATTCATAGACTTTGTCGATTATTTTTTTTGATATACCCTAAAATTAGAGATCTATCTAATTAAATTTCTATAAAGCTATTTCTTACTTGACTTTTGTTCTCGATACGTTTACCATATACAAAAAGTTTATTTCCATTAACACGAATACCAACCTAATTATGCAATATACGAATTACAAAAAAATGTCAGAAAGAAAACTAATTAGTTCGTTTTGATTAAATCCTTCAATATTAATTTTTATACGAGTTTTTTCATTACCAATTATTGAATCATTGATCCATTTTAGTGTTGTACCTTTAGAATGAATTCGATTTTGAGTATGTTGTTCATTAAATGGATAGTTAGAAGCATTTGGCAAATGACGAATAGGTATATCAATACGTTTATTCAACGGTACGCTATACTCGAATGTTGGTGACTCTGTGAAACGGTACGAAGATGACATAGTTTTTTCTCGTAAGTTTGATACAAATCTAGGGGAAAAAAGTTTTTTTTTTTATTAGTGTAATCTATATATATATGGATGGATTGCACTGGTATTGTACCTTTTGAAGTAAAAAATTAAAGTGTACAAGATCCTGATAAACAATTTCTATTGAGATGAAATCTAGCTATTGACATTAATCTGAATGATTTTTCTCGAACATCAATGGCAATTATTTTATGAATTGACTTTCTTTGATAATGATATCTCTTTTGATCAATGTTCTATTCTTTTTAAAACGATCTTTCCCGATAAATTCATGTTATTAACAGAAAAATAATTTCATGAAAATTGTCGTCAAATAATCATGGAAGGATGAAGATCTGATAACTGATTTTAACAATAAATTCGATAGTTAACGATTGTTGATCGTTGAAATTTTCTTCAGATAAGTTAATTTTCCCATAACCCAGGTCAATCACGTCCGATCGGATCCTGTCGGTTCCAAATAATTCCGACTGAAACCTATCTCAATTTTGTCGGAATCCTAACTAACGGATTCCGACGTCGGATCTGACATCGGATTTGCATAAAATCCGATCGAATCCTGTCTGTTTTTGTCGGATTTTACCGGATTCCGGTCCGGATATCGTCGGAATCCGTTAGTTAGGATTGATTGACCTGGGAAGATGAATATTTTTAATAGAATTGATTAAAAAAGGTTAAGATTGAAATTATTATCGGTAATAAGCATATGATGAGATTCTATTCTTTACTTCGCTTGTTTTCTCTTTCTCTCAGTTGATATAATGCGATAATATCGAA